AATTCGTTTAAAACTGTGGGAAAACCGCTCGGGAATAATCTTTGGCCGAGGGTGACTTGATTAAGCAACACAACAAGCAACACACACAAATAACATAGCAAACAACATAAAAAATCAACAATGTTAGCAACAGCGCACGCTGTTCATATGCCAACAGAATACGGACCTGTTGCACTTGGCACGGGTTTCAGAGCTTCGAACGTGATAGTGCAGAAAATTTTCAGCCTCGTAAGAGCGAAGGTGAAAAGTTCTCCGCTCCCAACTGTCAAACGTCCTCATGACCACGAGCGACAACATTTCGTGAAGTCGGATTCCAAAACAAGCACCACAAGCCGTAAATCAACCAGCACAAGCTGCAACACCAAGCTCCTAACTTTGACGCAAACGTATGAGACAAAACTGGATTCGTCTGAGTCGGGGTCTACGCCGCTTAAGCAAAAAGTGCTACTGACAAAGGAAATTGTACAAACAAAGGCAAAGGCTGTTTCAAAACCACCTGCGCGAAAAAACGACAAGATTGAAGTACTTCAGCTACCCAAAGCTAAGCCCCGGCACAATCAACGAAAGAAGGTGAAACAGGCGCGGATAAAAGCGGAGGCGAAGACTAGCAGCTATTACACCTTCAGACAAAAGCGCACCAGTACTTTCGCGAGTACTCGAGTGGGCAAACAATACAAATGACGTCGAGTACGTCCAATTCAATTCTGGCAACTTACCTTACTGCCATGACCGACGGCTTCATCGGCGCACGGCTGTGCGCAGTCAACGAGCCTACGTGCGAACAGAACAGTTCGACTACAACTTCGTTGTGCCTAAGCACCTGATGACAAAGCGGAGTGCAGTTATACAAGAAGAGAAGAACAAACGATCCAAACCCAAATATTTCGCCAATAATTCCGACTCGGAGCACTCGAAAGGAACGACTAAGGAGATCGTAGCTTTCTTCTCGGGCGGAACTCCGAAGTTCACCAGGCTCGTACTTCGCAATGCTGCTCATCAGGTTGTGTTGTTTCTTGTGTTGCTAACACTTTTGTGTTGTTTCTTGTGCTGCTCACGTTTTTGTGTTGTTTCTTGTGTTGCACCCTTTGGATTGTATGTCTAGCGGGGCTGTGTACCGAATGAAAGAGTTCTACAACATTTGTGCAAAATGCACTGCATGGTACTCAGATGTGGAATGGCTTCTATCAACTAAGTGGGAAACGATGCTCGATACGCCACTGTTGTTTGACGAAGAGACTGATTCGGAAGTATTATTCCCTTCCGCAGCGGGCGAGAAACACAAATATTTGGCGAACGAAGCGGCAAATATTCTGCGCGGATCTTGCCTTAACTCGGAATTTAGGCTTACGAGTGCTGCGTGCTCTATCAGGGTGGACAATATGGTGGGAAGCCTGGCCCGGACTCGAATGTTAAACGACCTCGTGATTGACTGTACTATTCGCTGCATCTGCGGTGTGCTTGGCGACTGCTACGCGCTGAGTTCGTTCGCTCCGACGATGGGATGCCCAAGCCCTCCGAAGACACGAATATCGTCATTCCATTATGTGGTGTTGCCAGCTCACCTAAACGGAAATCACTGGGGCGTCATCATTGTTAGACTGGTCGATCAGCTGGAAACGCCCAGCATCACACCGTACTATTACAAACCCTTGCGTGGGACGGAATTTCTAGCAACAATGGAAGTCAGTTTCCAGGACACAATGGCTAAATTTTTACGGAACTGGCATCATGAGACCATGCAAGCTACTGATTTTCCTGTCGTCGAAAATGGCGTGTGGCTTAATGCGCCAACACAGCCAGATGGATCTTCATGCGGGGTGTTGTGTATCGCCCAAACATATGCAGTACTCAAGGATAGCACCGCTTTTGCTAACGCAACCGTCACACAAGACGATGTCGCCATCCTGCGACTGCGTATCATGTGGATAATTTTGATGCAACCAGAGGTGACTATGAAGTCAAATAAGCGAGCGAAAGCGGTAGAAGCGACCGGTCAGGAACTGTTCTCAGCGTTTAAAATATATTATGCATTCGTTTGTCTTAAACTTTGCTACGTAAACCTCCTTATGCCTCCTTTATCGCTTTTGTAATTCATTTACAAAGCCTGATCCAGCAAAATACTGCAGCACTCCTCGAGCGCCACAGCATACGATACAACGTATCCGACGTCGTGAGCAGAAGCCCCGGTTGCAGCTGCTAGACGCATTGTATCTTGCTTTTCGCGTGCGAGTATAACAGCAATCTCCTCATGGAGATCCATCAGCTTTAGCGAAAACTCGGAAAGTCGCTCGAGCTTCTCCCCCAGTAACTCGATTTGCTGCAGTCGAGACCGCAGCAGCTCCTTGCACATCCCCTCCTTGTGGCGAGGATTGCGTCGGGGGACCCCGTCACCAGTTGAATGCGTCCGGTCGGTGCTAGCTGAATCGTTCATGGAGCCCAAGTTGGCTTGGTAGGTGCAAGTCTTTTTTTTCTAATGATGAATGAGCACTTATAATGTAAATTTTGTGAATCAGCGGAGTGGTAACTTTGACAATAACGGTAATCTATCAGACCCCCGATAATAGTTTACCGAGCTGTGTTACTTTGACACATTTTTTATGTTGTTCCTTGTGTCATAAGGGGCGGATGTGTTGCCGTAAGAGCTGTCGTCTTGTCGCCGCTGTGTTGCGGTAACGTCGTTCGTAGATTCTCCTTCACTTTTAGTAAGATCTCCTGAGTTCGATGGGGAAGCTTTGTAGACGCTATAGGGGTATCTATCTACACAAGCGTGTGATCTTGCTGGTGTTTCGCGTGACCGAGCTCCAAGGCAACAAAACATTAGCCCCAGGACCTTAGTGACCGCTAGCACTCAGTTTAGTTGCGGTTTTGATTGCCAAAACAAGAGTGAGATTGTGAGTTAAAGACATTCGAAAGCTAATCTGCGTCTGCCTATTTCTGCCTTCCATCTGAGCCCTACCGTGACATCCGGCAAGGTACAATTTTCGAGGTATCGAGCATCTTCTCGACGCACGGCACGCATCCACCGCTCCGTCTCTTTTTAACACAAGTACACGGAAAACACGGATGCGGGAAGCTTTTAAGCACGGCCTTAGATTCAGCAATGAAGGCAATTACCAAATGACCATGCCACCCGCTAAATACTTGGAGCACGAACAATGTTACTAAGGCTGTGTTCCACTTCGCTCCAAATAGTAGCTGGTTTTATTCTGAATCTTTTTTTTTTATCTAAATTTTAGGAAAAATTTAAATGCCTGGTTTCCCAGTTCAGCTGCTAAAATTAGGCAGATTAGTTGAAATAGCTTCTTTTAGCGAAATCATGTTTTTTCAACCCCTAGCTTTTTAGATGAAGTCTAATACGTCCAACTAATATATTTAGCTTCAAAATAACATTCCAAGTTACTTCAATTACAGCACTGTTGATGAACGTCTCCAGAACGTGGTGTTGGCCATGATCACTTCAAAAGAAGCCAAGAACAGAAGCTCGAAGTTGAAATCGCGCAATGCAATTTGCATGGCTTGATCAGAAAATACATAAATAAGCCGGTATCGTGTTTACAGTGGTGCGCACACCCTCGTGCCGTTGGCAAACATGAAGTTCGTTCGTCTCAGAGAAATTAAAATCGGTCATGATCTCACGATTTGATAAACTTACAGGCCCAAGTATTCATTTCCTAGCTTGCTGTCGCCATGGAGAATCCGTTCCACACAAGCGTCATCAAGACGGTTCGCCACATTTCCAGCAAATACAACGAGTATAAGGCGGTCGTTGAAGAGCACTTGACCAGTACACAAACACGAGTGAAAGCCAAACTGACCAACAACAAGAAAACCAGTCATGGAGGCGAGTATTGCCAAGCTGCAATAGCTGACCGCCGCTCTGTTGCCAGGGAGCAGCTGTCACATCGGGGCGACTGAAAAATAGGCTCAGTACAGCGGTCACGGTAATGAATCTCATTGAAAATAATTTGTGTGGAGTAAATGTTTTATCTCACACAGCAATTGATCTCCGTGAGAGTATTAATGAACTCCCATTAAATAGTGTTTGGTAAAATAAATCTCATTGCTATTATTTTATGTAGCCCTGAAATTAATCTCACATCTACGCTCAGTGGCAGAGAGAATTATTTAAAAAAAACATCATGAAATTATGAAGGCTTAGACACAAGTACATGGAATCATAATATAGAGCCACAGCCAATTTGTACTTTTGTTGGTATTATAAAATAGATACAGTGAAACTTTTCTTAAGTACGAACATCAGTGCTTACAACGAACGGACCAATTATTGGGACAGAACACTCCACAGAACATACATCACCACAAACCTACATGTAACTCTAAGAGGGACCCGAGGCACTGCTGCTGAACTCACAATGCAGCGATTGGCTAGGGCGATCACCACTGCACCATAAGCAAGCCCAATAGTGAGTACAAGATATCAACCACAACTGAGATTAATAATGAACTCTGAAAAAGCTTGTTCACGTGAATTATTCTCAACAAACCTGAGTGAGAATATTTAGTGTATGAGATTATTTATCAACTTAGATTAATTACCGTGACCACTGTAGCCATGAACGGAAAATCTCTGAGAAAACAGCGCACCTCCTATCGAAATCTGGAGTATCCAAAATGGTCCATTCGCTTCGTGAAGATCTCCATCGAAATAGAGCGTCGACGGGGTCCGTTAACTCGCCGAGGTCAGGCTCAAATTTGAAGGAGTCAGCTGGCCAGTTGAGAGTGTAAACGCGTCGTCTGACCATAACAGTGACTCTTCCCTAGAATGGGAGATATCACAGGGTTCCAATGCTGAATTCTACACGGACGACGAAACCATCAACAAGGCACGGATACCTCGCGAGAAGGTGGTTCTACAGGAGTTTATCAGTCGGGGAGCGTTCGGAAAAGTGTACAAAGGAACATACAACGGCCAATTCGTGGCAGTGAAGACGATGAGCGACGTGGATTCGTTTGTCAAGGAGGTCAAGTTGGCGAGCACCATGAGTCATCCGAACATTGTGCAGCTCATTGGTGTGGCGTGGGATTATCGAGAAGATTTTTGCTGCGTGATGGAATACATGGACGGAGGGGATTTACGAGGCTTGATGGACAAATACGAGGACGAGAACCGTCGGACAGGCTTCGACGCTGCCAAGATCACGATCGCGCTGCATGTCGCTCATGCTCTGGCCTATTTGCACTCTCGAGACGTTCCGGTAATTCATCGCGACTTGAAGTCGAAGAATATTCTGCTGAACGAAGCGCTGGGAGCCAAGTTGACGGACTTTGGCGTCTCTCGGGAACGCGAGACAGAGCGATGACTGCAGATGTGGGTACATCACTTTGGATGGCTCCGGAGGTGATGATTGGGAATGCGTACGATGAGAAGGCAGACATGTTTCGTTTGGAGTGGTACTTTCCGAGCTGTCAATGCATTCGTTACCATACTCGCATGTGAAACGTCCTGGTTCCAATCGGCAGCTAATCACTTTGGTTATTCTCCAACGAGTCGCGAGCGGATTGTTAAGCGTGCAGTTCTCAAAATCTGACCCTCAAACGATGGTACGACTGGGTCTCTCGTGTGTATCGATGGATCCTTTAAAGAGACCAACAGCAGCTGAAGCAGTGCGTATACTTCAGGTTGCTTATATGCAGGAGCCATAAAGTAAAGTTAGCTACTACGTAGTACGATATTGCTGCGGTGTATTTTGCATACCACCGTCTCAACGCTACGCAGAAACTTTACTGTCTCGTCATCGATAAGTTTGATTTTGCTTTCGCCGCAGCCTTTCAAATGGAAAGTTACTCTAGCGGGGTGCTATTTACTTTTAAGTAAATTTTACTGGCTTCTGATTACTTCTGAGTAATTATAAAGGCACGTTAACTTTTAGGAAACTAGGCTCCGCGCCCAAATAGTCGAGCCTGTATTTCGAAGTGCAATATTAAGGTTACGATGACTGAAGATGCAGGACAAAGCCAAGAAGAAGCGGTCAATTTATGTTGTACTTCGTAATAAAATATTTGATCTGCTATTATGGAACAAGCCAGCCAGTCAACCGAACTTGATATCAACTTGATAGCAAGACGTGGTCTTCAGCAAACGCACATAGCGCTCACCGACACTGATAGTATCAAGACAACCACGAGGTGCCAGCGCTGAGCACCGAACGCACCGTTCTCAACAGGTCAATCCCCTCTTGTGTAGCGAGAGTATAATAGTCTTGACCGTAGTCACGCGCTCGTTTCGTCCTTCCGCTCGCACAGTAGACGCTGATCTCCATCGTTCGAAAGGACCAGCTCAAATTCAGCTGGCATAGGTTTTGAACTCTCCCTCGTAGATTACGACGTAAAAAAAAAGCCGCCTTCTTTACAACTGCTTATTATACGGCAACCAAACAGCTTACACGGGAATATTAAACGGCAACCAAACAGCTTACACGGGAATATAAAGAGCACGTTTCTCATCAATTGTCGGTGGCTGGCGGCCCTCATATTTTCTCGCTCCCTAGATAATGATCTTTGACGAATCCAATACTGAAGTCGCATATACTTGCCGGTAACCTGTTGTATCCGATAGTATATAGTTCCTGCCTTTGACGCTCACGAGAGGATCTCTTGGCACACTCAATTTCACGCACAGGCACCGAACCAGCTCGCATGAAATTGGGCATCGAATCTTGCTGGCGTATTTGAAAGTAGAGTAAACCCTTATTGTTACAGGGCTCTTTGCCCTACATGCACTACAATTATGTAAATTCATGGAAAAAGATGGTAGTTTTCTGTTTTTGGCAATGTGCAGTTTTGTTTTTGCACTATTGATTGTATTTCACAGTTTATTGAACGAACTGTTTCGCCAACCATTTGTACCAATATGGTGGTACATTGTTCGTAACTCCAAACACGCCATTCGGAAGACCACCACAACGATGAAGTCATCCGTGCAGGCGTTGCTGCTCGATATGGACGGCGTGTTGGCCGAGGTGTCCCAGTCCTACCGCCAGGCCATCATCGACACTGCGCGTCACTTCGGCGTGCCTGTCACGCACGAGGACATCGACCGGCACAAACTGGCGGGCAATGCCAACAATGACTGGCAGTTGACGCACCGTCTGGTCCTGGACGGTCTTAACAACGCCAGAGCTGCCCCCACACTAGAAGCAGTCACGGCTCAATTCGAGGCTCTGTATCAAGGTGTGGGCAACACTCCGGGTCTGTGCGAGCTTGAGACGCTGCTCACGCCCGAGGGATTGTTGCGTGAGCTGCACCGTCGTCTTCCCAAAGGCATGGCGGTGGTCACGGGACGACCTCGCAAGGACTGCGTCAAGTTCTTGACCGCTCACGGCATCGAGGACTTGTTCCCAGTGCAGATCTGCATGGAGGACTGTCCGCCTAAGCCATCACCGGAGCCCATTCTTCTTGCACTCAAGGCTCTGGGTGTCGAGGCCCCATACGCCGCCATGGTTGGAGACACCGTGGACGACATCATCGCTGGCCGCAAGGCTGGAACTATTGCCTACGGTGTCTTGACCCCACAGACGTACGCCAAGTCGATCCTAGACCAAACACCTGCAGCTATTGGCAAGGTATTGGAAGAGGTCGGAGCTTCAGTTGTGCTGACTCCGGGACTTGCAGAGCTGCTGGACCTCGTCCCTCCAGTGGCGGCAGCTCTCTCGACAGCGAACAAGACCCCGTCTTTGACTGGCAAGTGCGCCGCTCGTGAGGCCAGCATCTCGCGCGTAACCAAGGAGACGTCGATTAGTGTCAAGCTGTCGCTGGACGGCACGGGCAAGTCCACGGTGAGCTCTGGCATTGGATTCCTGGACCACATGCTGACGGCTTTAGCCAAGCATAGTCGCTTCGACCTGGAACTTGACTGCAAGGGCGACACGTGGATCGACGACCACCACACGACGGAGGACTGCGCGTTGACGCTCGGCGAGGCCTTCGATGTCGCGCTGGGCGACCGCGCGGGTATCGCTCGCTTCGGCTCGGCGTGTGTACCGCTGGATGAGGCTCTGTCCCGCGCTATCGTGGACATCTCGAGTCGCGCGCACAGCGAGATTAACCTGCAGCTGGTGCGTCCGAGCGTGGGCGAGCTGTCGTGCGAGATGATCACACACTTCTTCGAGTCGTTCGCCAGCGCCGCTCGTCTCACGCTGCACGTGGATGTGCTCCGTGGCCGCAACGACCACCACCGCGCCGAAGCGTCCTTCAAGGCGCTGGCCGTCGCGCTGCGTACTGCCGTCAAGCACGACGCCACTGCGGGCGTTCCGAGTACCAAAGGTGTTTTAGCGTGAGCGAAGCTCCGAAAACTCATCATAGTGTTTATCTCCAATTCAGGGCTCGTATTTGAGATTTAGAGAAACGTTTTCCTTCGTTGGTCATAATGTACACGGGCAAGGTTGCATAACGGTATCAAGCAGTCTACTGTTGCAAACCTACTGCAATGCAATAGATGCGGCGATACGCCCGTAAACTGTCAAGTGGTCCCCGACGAAGAAACCTCAAGTTGAAGATTTTCTTTACGGATTTCCATGCATTTCCTGCAATGGTTACGGATTATAATCTAGTGTAAAACGGACGGATTGGAGCTTTCTAAACTTTAGTCTAGTGTGTTTTTTTTCAAGAAAAAAACAAACGTATACTGTCTGGGTAATGGAGATGTATACAAATGTATATCTGGACGGATCTCAACATTTTTTTTCGTGAGGCACGATGCAGCGCGGTAGTGACACTGTAACGGGGTACAATCCAGTGTGACCCATGTTACATAAAGAGTGACCCGTCACTTTTGTGGACACCTGGTACACGGTACCAGTACTTCGCTCCACTATAGGTAACCTCTAGTTTGTATGAGACCCAAGCTTATCTTACTCATAAATACATCAGTCTTAAATCTACTCTTCTAAGTAGCAAACCGTTCCCATTGAGGCCGGGAACACGTGGACTAACGTTCACTCGGGTAGTTAATACCCTTAAGCATTTCCTCTGTGCAAGGTGCTGTGTGACCCCGTGACAGACACCGACGACGACTCGTTAGCATTTGAGCGCACGTTTGACATCACATCCAACACGCGACAGCGCGCGGATCACTACTGCACTACTGCCATTTGGCTCACCCTTTGTGTACCAGTACGCGTTTGTGCGCTCTGAAGGACATTAGACATCTGTGTAAAGGTGCACGTTTCACCTGAAATGCGAAAAGTATGTCAGAATACCAGAAGTGATGGACTTGGTGTCGTCGTTTGTCTTGAAAGAAGCTGGGGGCACAAAGGGATCTGTTTGAGACTACTTCGGGCAAGACTTGAAAAAGACGCTGATGTGATGGGGAAGCTTCCAACTAAGGGGCAGCTCAAAACCAGGAAGGTATACCTGAAAAGTCAACAGCGGGTAAGCTTTCTGTAAAATATTTTTTCTATCATAAATTGCAAATAGCTACAAATGTTTAAGCATGTCGTTATTGGAATAGTGCAACAAGTGGATGTGAAATATCGACCCCAGCGGCGCTGAAAGAGTGGGCTAGTGTACGAATGTGCGACTCAAGCGATGGCTTCTTTTTGGGATCACCGTTCGACGACACGAACGATGGGGATACGCTTGTGTCCTATTCCGGGCAGCAGAAGAACGAACTATTGGTGCTTGACATTTTTGAGCACACGCTTAAGGACGACAACGGAGCAAGGGCTACTTCGCTCGGACTTATCGTCACCAGTCGCTGTATGTTACACACCGTGCTAAACTGCCAAGTTGCACAAGGCAGTCAACTCCTGGGAGCCACCGACGGCACATACAAACTTCACTTCGGTATATCATTGAAGCTTCACTATCTGAAATTAACTGTAAAATAAGCTATTTTTTATTTATTTCAATTTATTTGTAGGGGGCTGGACTTTCGTAGACTTTGGTAGTAATGGCTCACGATTCACGAACAACACGTTTTCAAAAACATCTATACCATGTATACATGTTTGTGAGGACAGAGCACCAATTTGCTTACGAGCGACTATTTCGAACAACTGTCCGGCTGGCTGAGCGGTTTTTTTGCGTACATCTCAGCCTGGTGTTTGTTAGTCTGGACCATGACAGCTATATCGCCAACGCGTATCAAACTGTCTGGCTAGACATCCAACTCCTCGATTGCTGGCCACACCTCGCAAGAAAGGCTCGGGAGCGAGTATGCAAGAATCAGAGTGCGGAAGTATATGACGCTACCGTGCTGCCGCTAATACGAAACTTACACGATTCCGTGACCAATTTTATGCGCTGTCGAAGGTGATGATAAATTTTGGAGTGAAAACGGAGGTGCCGATTTTGCGGAGTGGCTGACCGCGTATTAGTTACGGGAGCCGTGGGAATCCTGGTTTATTGCAGCGTCAGGGGTACCAGGTATCATACCTCATCAAAACGCTATTGAAGCCCACCATCGTGTAATCAAGGCGCCCTGTGTGGACAATCTACGCGCCGGCACAGCTATTGTTTTAAACGACTCCCTCCTGCCTGGAATTTTACGAAACGAGATGCTTGTTGGTCCTCGATTTGCCTCACACATTGATGAAGGTACGTATTTACATATATCACATACCTTTACAAGACTAACGGGCTGTACTTATATGTATGGTACTACCAGGATCACCACAGTCCAAAACCGTCGTTGGAGCTTGCTTGCTATTGCTAAACAAACTCAACTTCCGGATTAAGTTTTCTGAAAGAAGCAAGAAAAAAGAACTAAAAGCAGTATTCTTCAGTTCCTTCAAGCTCACTCATCTCCCAGAACGCATTGGATGTGATTTGGACGGCAGACGACAGAAAATGTAAGTGTTTTGCTTTACGCTTTTTTAAATTACTAACTGATACCATCTTGACACAGCTACCTCGACTCACTGACAGGAAAGCTTCAAAATGGCAGCGACGTCGCTGCCGTGGAGCTTTTGTATCTTTCGATACATGAGCGTCAGGCCGAGGCCCGCACCTGCGTGGAAGAATTACGTCATGGACTGAGAATGGGGGAAGGTATTTGTGGGAAATTACATTCATGAATGGCTCTAAGAGCTAAATGGAGGTGCAGGCGCTTGCGGAATGCGTGGCTGACAGTCACCATCTAGGGGTTGGCATTATGTCTACCAATCAGTAAGGTACGCCCACAGGAGTGTCGCGGCCTCATTCCTTTGTTTTGGATGTATCGCTCTAGCCGTCAGGTTTTCCCGCGATCTCCCTTCAGCTCACAGTACATTCATTAAATAGGATACATTTGTATACACTAGGTGGTCATCCGTTTGTTTTGCTTCGCACAAGGTGCTCATCCGTTTTTGTATAAAACTAGATGTTCATCTCTTTTCCACTAGAGATTAATCTTTTCTCAGAATCGATGTACAATAGCGTGAATTACTTATTATTAGGGAGTTTAAGAGATGCCATGTATGTGTATTTGGGAAAAAGTATATATATAGCGCTTCGTTCCTCTGTGCATATAGCTCTGTAGGAAATCTGGAGCTTTCCTTGATTTTGTTTTTGTAAAAAAAATTAAAATGGTGCTTGTCTAAGGGAGAGTTATTCCGTCATCAGCACTGGTAGATACTTAAGTAGTATTATCTCGTTCATCCACTTGCCTCTGTAGAATAATGGTCTGACCTCTCCAAGACGCAAAGTGCTCATCGACTACGTAACAAATGTTGCATACCCTCATAGCCTGGTAAGATGCACCAAATAGCACAAGAAAGAACAAAAGACCACTCCAGTGCTCTCTAAACCTACGAAGGGGTCTGTGGACGAGGAGGGGCACTTATGCGGAGTACAGGTCTGTAGTCATAACTGTCATCTCGGACGTGTAAAATATGTTTAATAGTTGTGCTGATACATGTATTGTGTCAGCTCAATTAAAGTCCAACCTGATAACTTTGTTTAAAACACAAAATGCATTTGGGTACATCAAATGGCCATATTTCTTAATTTGGATCCCTCGAGTACCCTAAGCTCGTATTTTGCAATGCATTTTGCTTTTCGGTGGGTACAAAGTCAGGTCCGCAAACTTAGCAGTCTACATGGGTGAAAATGTAGCTACAATACCGCATGCAATTGTCGTGAAACAGGTGAATTAACTTCAAAGCTGGTTTCCCTTTGTAGCGCGTAGTGTTCGAGATGCCTTCGGAAGCGGAATTGCGCTGTTAACGTGGCTACAGAGCTCTTCTTCGAGCGAGCGGCGATCTTTCAGACGACGAAGAAGACTCTGATCGTGGTGGGATGGACGTAGACACCATCATCCATTCGAGCAACAAAGGACAAACCTTACGAAATCAAGTTGCCGCGCGGAAAACGAGTGTGGTTGGAGCGGAAAATGCTGCCACCTCTCGCTGTGTAGATACAACGGAGAATACCCAAGTCGAAGCCGGACCCCTGAATACCCATCAAACGCATCTAGAACTGATATAGCAGCTACGAGGCCCAAGAAGCTGTTTAACAGTGTTATAACTTATTTGGTGCTCATGTCGCTCCTGTGCCGTGTATTACTTGAGTTATTGCAAATGCAAAAGTGAGAAACTAAACTAGACTACTTCGATCCTTGAGTGCAGGACGGCATTCTCCCTAGGAGCGAGCCTACTGGTTGCAGTTGCAGCTCGGCTTCACCCCTACCCTGCTGCTCGGCATCCATGCGATTGCCACCTTGCTGCAATGTGGATTCTCTGATCATAGGCTCTGCTTGTCGAAGTCCTGGTAATCCCAACACAGCCCCTGAAGGGCTACGTTGCCAGACTATGCCTTACCAGGGCCAAGAAGATCTTCTTATACGCTGTTGACAGCTCCTCATCATCGGACGCCAGGACGTACTGCACAATCTCGGATGAGATCTCATCGTACATGGCACGAAGTGGATTCCACGAGTCGTTTTGATCTTGAAGTCCAACCCAAGATACTAGCACCTGCCAATCTCCGCGTTCCTTGCGGTGGGCCTTGCGTGCTTCTACACTAAACACCATGCCTTGGTTTCCGACGTGCGCGAGTAGCTCTTTATTCACTTCTAAACTGCTATCACTGTAGAATTTAAACAGAATCCGTGCACTATAAAGTGCTGACTCGTAATTAGGTGGCGACTGACAAATGAGTGAGGTCGATCCTCTGTCACCTCAAACGAACCGATCCACTGGGCAAGCAACTTGTTGGTGGAGAGAACGAAATCCCCAACAGAGAATGTTGCACGGTGCGCTCTTAGATTGTTGCATGTTGTTCAAGCGTCGATTCTCACGTCTGTCGATTACCTCGCGATGCATTTCAGCGAGACGCCTTCGGGGCCGTTCAATCTTTT